CCATTTTTCAAATGACATCCCTCACCTTCTTCTGGCGCTTCTGACTTATTTTCAATCCCATTTTTGTCTGCTTTGCCCCCAGATGGGTGCCCCTGAATCTAGAAAGATGATCCTGGGCCACACTGACACAATCCCACCATTTATTAGCCCAAACAGACCCCTCTTTTTAAAACAATCTCGGGGGGGGGGGTACTTTTTGTGCGCCTCATCCTAGCGCAGAATTTTCCTTGAATTGGGACACTGCACCCAGATTTGGTGGGGTTTACTACTCTCTGTTAAGAGCGCCGCCAAGCTGCTTTGTTGTTACAGGGAAAACTGGGCCTTTCTATAAAACTGGGATAGTAAACGATGGACATCCCCTAAACCTTCGATTGATTAAAAGGTCTTAAAAGTCTTAAAGGGTTAAATTGGGATGTTTTCATATGCTTTGATGTTCTTGTGGAAAAGTTTTGATTCACAATGAGCAGAAATCTCCCTTATCGGGGAACTAAAAGTGAGGCGACTTGGCGAAGAGAGGCCGATCTTTGAGAAACGATACCCTGCACCTGGGACCTTCTAATAATAACGTTGCACTTTCTGCACTGGTGACCACACTTCTATTGAATGCGTTACGAGGTCACTGCCGACAACCAGTTGCGCTTTTGGGGCCAGCTGCACATAATATTGTACATGTATATAGGCATTGTTAGAAATATTTGGGGGTCGGTACCTGAAAATCGCGAGATAAACTTCCGCCATTTCGAGTTTATTCTGTCACCAGGTTGGGTCATGCGAGCATGTTTATCTCAACGTAGCTGTTTTGAGTACAGAGGGCCGAGTGTGGTAAGTTACTTGCTGTTAGATGCCGCAAAAACTACAAGTAAATAGGCCTAGGACCCATGCACTGTGGTACTGGCGAATATTTACTTGGGGACCCTATTTTTTTGTTATTTCAATCATCTTGCAAAACTAGTAAGTCCTCCCCCCCCCCAAAAAAAAAAACAAAAACAAAGGCAACACAATTTCAAATTGTAAATTGTGAGGAAATGTGACTTGTTTACTGAGTGATAAGCTAGCCATGCAAATTTGAATCCAACATGTGTCAAAAAGCATGCACCTGATGCAGAAATCCACAAGATGTACATGTGTACCTAGCCCCACTAGTGTGGCACGGACTCTCGCTCCTGATCCATCCTTAGCCACACATCCATATGTGCAATTTCATGTCGGCGTACTGAACATTTTTGGCGCACCCACTGATCATCGTGGGCACAATTTCTTTTGCACACGAACATGATCCTTGACCTTTCCGTTTTCTAAAAACCATTTATTGAATGATTTCACTCACGTTATTCAGGTTTTTCCAGTCTTTTTGCCTTTATCCATTCAATTTAATGGGCTTGCTGTCTCAGTCGCCATCTTTAAAATAAGATCGTTGAACAATATGTCACTTGACCCCTCATCGTCTCGACAGCTGTTCCATGTCAAGACATATGTAATAAACGGACTGAGTGATAAGATACTGTACATGTACCAATGGGCTCTTCCAAAACTTTGGCAGCCGTTTAGATGTCTTGACATGGAAGAACCGTCGAGACGATGAGGGATTAAGTGACCTAGTGTTCAACGGCCTTTTTTTAAAGATGCCGACTGTGAGAGTGAGCCCGTTAGATTGAATGGATCAAGGCAAAAAGACTGGAAAATACTTCAATAACGTGAGTGAAATCATTCAATAAATGGTTTTTAGAAAGTGGAAAGGTCAAGGATCATGTTCGTGCGCAAAAGAAATTGCGCCAACGATGATAAGTGGGTGCACCAAAAATGTTCAGTACGCCGATACGAAATTGTGCATACGGATGTGTGGCTAAGGATGGATCAGGAGCGAGAGTCCGTGCCACACTAGTGTGGGGCTAGGTACACATGTACATCTTGTGGATTTCTGCATCAGGTGCATGCTTTTTGACACATGTTGGATTCAAATTTTATGAAGTGAGTACACCCATGTACCTCAATTTTCACTGCTGAACTTGACTTTTTAGGACAGTTTTAATTGCTTTCAGATGGAAAAAGGTCACTGCAGGGAAAAATAAGTCAGTCATCATTAGTGGAATTCTTTGCTCGACCTTGACCAGGGAGAGATACACTAAGCAACTCCATGTACATGTACAGTGTATGTGAATTGGACTTCTGCCAGTCTTGTATGAAATCCTATCAATCACAATTTATTATCAGTTTGCACCTGTTTTGCATATATCTTTTTCACAGCAGTAGCCTGCAATGTACACTGTAATGTACACATATGTACATGTATGTACAGTACATGTACACCATGTTCACTGTACATGTACACAGGTGCCATTACATTACATAGTGTCGAACTACATGTATCTTGGACATGTTGTAGTTTGTACATTTTGTGTGGTTGTTTGGGAGTTTTAAAAGTGTCTTCTTTGTGTTTGCGTATACCGGTACCTGTATGGTGTATGTATATACTGTACATGTACCCGGGAATAAGGAAAATCCATTCCAACTAATAATTTCTAGAAGGAAGCGCGGTACATTTAGATAAATGTTTGTATATTTTGTGTGCATGAGCTGCCATGGCTGCTGCTGACGATGCGTGTGCACCGTTGGTACATGTACACTACATGTACATGTTCATGTATATAATGATTCATAGTTCACTGTGCACGTCAGGACTACTGGCACACGTGTACATGTAAATATACATGTACATCACAGTATGCATGCCGTGTGCACTATACAAGTGCGTGCATTCAACTTACAAGAAAAAATAAACAAGACTTTATAGCGCTGATAATGAGACCGGCAGGAAATAAACATTACATGTAAAACAGTGCTTACCAGCAGCGGATTTCACGAAAGTAAACGTGGCGTAACTTTGAACCATGGATGCGTAACATTTACATGTACATGTACATGTAGACACCGGTACATACATGTACATGTGTACATTCAATTTCACAGAAAATTGCATATGTGTACTATAGCTGTGCCACTTTGATGAGGACAAAATCGGCTTTTATGACGGCCGTTCCTTTCCAATATAACAATAACAGTTGTCAAACAGTCACTGAATCACTTCTGCCTGCCATTTTGAAAAGGTTTTTGTCTTCATTGGAATCGGACAGAAAATCTTGCAGTTCTCTCACAGCCAATCAAGTTTTTCATTACCTTGCAAGAAGTTGTTGGCCTACGTTCCTCGCATACTGGTTAGCCTTGTTACGTTCAGTAATATTTGAGGCTTTAAAACCAAACATGATAAGCTGGTTAAATTGTTCATTTCGGCTTCGTTTGGTGCTACTTACAACACCTACCGGTACATAAAATGACTGCATTTATAAGGTACATGTACACCATAATTTGTTGCATAAGTCATGGACATATTGGTATGCAGTGTGCATGTTCCGTGAAATCGGTCTTAATTCATGTAATTTGTTGCACAACTTACGCAATCAAATGTGGCATACCGGTAAGAGTGGACTTATGCCGTTGCATTAAGTTTCGTGAAATCGGCTGCAGAAGATGTTACACAAACAACAGTTCCTTGTGGCTAAATTTTTGGCCTTACAGGGCCTTTGCCAGAGCTTGATGTGGCACTGGAGATTTGAATGCAGAGAACTGCACATTCAGACTGCCAGGCATGAGCGTCTCAAGTCTGTGGATGATACCCTGTTCCTTTTCCAAGCGCTGAGTATCGTATGCTGCCATGGTGTGCCCGTACAGGTACACATGGGTACATACATGTACATGTTTACCGGGTACAGTACTTACATGCACCAAATTCACGACATTGTGCTCACACATGCAAGTATCAAGGAGGAAATTTTCATCATCCTTGACCTGAACCTCTCAAGCGGCATGCCTTCGGTGATCTTTCCTTAATCCACCAGTACATGTACTGACAGTACGGTACATTCACATGTGCAACACATAACCGGAGGGCACATTTTTATGTTGCCATGAGATTTGCAGATGTATCAAACCCCAGGTACATGTACCAGGTATGGCGCTGGAAAAGAGGTGTAAAGTAAGTGGTCTAGGCATTTTGGTTGCTACCGGTAGTACTTGGGGAGTGCTGTGAGAAATGCTTTTTTTCCCACTCCAAGGGATAAGGCCCTCTCTATTAGAAATGGCTGCATGCCAGTTTTTTCTTTGTTGTTACAAAGCACAAGTGCATTTGGGTAATTCCAGAAATTAGGGGTCCATTTTTTTTTCTTGTCCCTGTCACATCTGACGTATGATTCTGTACGTTAGGGATACATTTCTACATGTAATTTCCAGGAGTGATGAATGAATGCAAATTCCCAGCCAAACAAATACATGTAGTACATAGTTTGAAATCAATTCCGCTGATACCGGTATTTCCACGTCAAGTAACAAAGGCCAGATATACATGTAACAGGGACACCAAAAAGTCACACTTTTAGACCCCTAATTTATGGAATTAACCATTTACATGCACACGTAGTGTACCAGAACAGACCCATTGGACATGTACATGCATACATGTATGGTACATGTACTTGTGTTATGCTGAAACATACAGTAGTGGTACACATACGTGTACATGAATGACGGGACTTTGGAAACTACAAACTCAAAATGCCTGCAGTCCGAACAACATGTAAGGATCTTTGAAGGGAAGAGTAGAACAAGGAGAAAAATATGTAACGTGGCCTCACATTTTACAAATGACAAGCTCACCGAGTGAATCCAATGCCAAACCTGAAACTACTGACCCTAGAGTGCACATGTTGGTCAGTGTTGGTGGGAGTATGGATTCCTTCTTCCATGGTGGGAGCAATGCTAACAAATTAAACTAAACCTTAAACAATAGAATGTTGCAAATTGACCAAAACCATACGGTAGATTCAAATCATAAATTGTCATCTTAAAGCAGGGAGCTAAACCAACACAGTGTACAGTACATGTACATGTACATTGACTCCAGCAAACATCCATGGTAAACTGCATGTATACAGAAGTAGCCCAGGAAAGAGGTCTGGAGCAGAGTGTGCAAACATACCCAGATTTCAATGGGGGGAGGGCTCGGGGAGAGAGAAACCTGAGCAAGCCTTACTGGTGCAATGTTTATGTACACTGTATACAGTACTGTACATGTACATGTACATACACAGGCATGTAGACACTCTGTACCAGTATCAATGCCCCTCCAGCATGTGCAGCAGTGCATGCAATGTGTCTGGCAGTTGAAAGTGTTGTGGAATGGAAGAGTCTTGGGGGAGTGTCCTTTGTGATGTAAATTTCAGCAGCTGGGATTGTTAAAATTCTGTATAGTAGTCAAAACTTTTTGCAAAAGCTGCTCTACAATTGCAGACAAGTACATGTACAGGTGTTTGCATTATCGTCATTGATGGATGGATGGATGCCAACTGTAACACTTTGGTATCTAGCTACTGTACGCACATGCACAGGTGCATGTACATGTACGTACAGGTATTTACAGTATACACATGTAGGCCTACATGTAACATATACTGCTCCATACCAGAACATCATTTAGCAGTCACCATACCACACTGGTGTGCATGTACATGTATGTACATGTAGATGTGGAAATACTGGAAATTTGCCCTTCATGTATGTACATGGTACATGTACACTGTACATGTATATACCATGTGTAACATGTACATGTATGTGTACCAATTGGTGTAACTGTAAGTGTAAACTCCTTCTGCCATCTGAAGTGTTGCTGTAAAATGTTTGATTACATGGCTTGAGCAGGCTTTGGGCTGTTACAATATGTACAGGTATTATGTATATGTACGCACAAGTACCATGAGTACCAGGTGCACTGGTTATGTGTGTGATTTCCTGGCCTGACACCCCCTTACTGCGCATTTCACATGCTAAACCCACATACGTGTACATGTGTACCGGTATATATGGAAACTTACCGGTACCAGTGCAACTACAGCGTCAGTCCCAACTTAACTATGGTTTGGACCGTCCCAACTATGCTAGAGTGCTACAGCTGGGCCGGCCCATCTACAGCACAGAGGTCAGCGTGCATGTGCCCAGCATGTGCCAAAGTCATATTGTTTACAATGTCATGTCATAGATGAAGTGCCATATTTTAGACGAATTGTGTCAAGTGCGACATGTATAACTTGGACAAGAATGAGAAATTTTCTACCGAAATTGGTCAACAATAGTTGGGCCAGCCCAACTGCAGCACTACAGTTGGGACTGTCTCAGCTATGGTTCGGACAGACACTATAGTTGGGGCGTAACAGTAGCACTGTGCTCATCCAAAACAAAAGACAGGTGTACCCATGTGCCAGTACATGTACAGTGCACATGTACATGTATACATACATGTACTGTATGTACATGTACATGTACATGTACATGCAGATGTACAATGTGTACGTGTATGTACATGTACATGTGCCTTTGTGTTTACATGTATCCATAGTGGTTTTGTAATCTCACTGCCATTGACACTGATTGAGGGGCTTTGTTGATAGCCTGAAAAACAACTACCGTGTACATGATGTACATGTACACGTGTAGTTTCTGTATGTGTATATGTACAGTACATGTACATGTGACATAAAATATGTAGGCTTACCAGTACATGTGTATGTACTGTACATGTAGCCTCTTTATTTACCGACAGTTACAATGTGCATTGTATCGGTACATATTCACAAAGAGTTCTAGAAATAGATTCTTTGTACCGCTTCCGTACATGTACCATACACATGCAGTTCATAAAGTTTCGGGACTTTGGAGTTTGGACTGACACTGAATATGTTTACTTTTTGAATCACAGTTTTTGCTTTTACAAGAGCAGTTTTGCAACAGTGCATCTGAGCATCCTGCTCAACATTTATTTACAAATGTACACATGTAATGCAAATGGCACATCACACCAGATGTTCCACTGCATACTGTCATGACTGTTGTGAGCTTGTGCAGTACGTTGTGTACACACTAGTGGGATGAAATTTATGTCCTCAGAAACCTCTGCTGTGACTGTGCAAACTTTGGGTTGTGGTAGAAATGCACAGGGCGCTTTTCTGTGCTTTGCTAAAACTGACCTTGGCTTTCATTGTATAATGTACATTGTTATGCAGATTTTTCGGATCGGGTCCATTTGGGTCCCTATGATGTGAGGAACATGTTGATAATCTGCAGCTGTGTTCTGGACCGGGAATTCACATGGGTTATCCATGTACGTGTACCGGAACTTACATGTATAACCTACATGTACTTATACAGTAGTTCATGTACCGGTACCTATAACCTACATGTACTTATACAGTAGTTCATGTACCGGTACCTATAACCTAAATGTACTTATACAGTAGTTCATGTACCGGTACC